AGAAAAAAAAAAAAAGAACAAGCAACTGTTTCTTAGTTAATTTTAGGCAAAAGTTAAAAACTGAAAGTTAGGGAGAGATGCGAACAGCTAAAAATCCAAAGGGCTAGAACATACCAAACAAAAAAGCCTTTTAATGCAAATGGAATAGCATGCTGAGGTCCTGCCTAGTTAACAAGACAAATATCAATCAGTGGAATAAACCCTATGAGTAGAAATAGTTCTGATTAGCAAATGAAATAGCAAGAAAACAGATGATTCTGCCCACTTTTTTTTTTTTTTTTTCTGCACTACAGTCTCTATGTTGCAAACTCACCCGGAGGGAAGCAAGGTTCATTCTGAGACAGGGGGAAATTAGTGGATTGTTAGAAGCAAGTTTATCACCATGCTGTCAGCTAAACTGTCCAGTCTTAGTCTGGGACCTTTTACCCTGACAGACACTGACTGGATCCTGCCAGGAGGAAAAAATAACAAGACCACAAAACAAACACACCATAAACAAATTCAGGAAAAGCCCATAATCAGAAACTACTGTCAATCCGTCCTGAAATCTGATGTTTGCATTAGTGATATAATGCTCCCTCCTCTCCATGTCCTCCCCTCTCTTTTCCGTACTACTTTCAGGTTAACAGTCCCAGCTGAGCCAGAGATGCTGTCGATGCAAGATCAAAACCAAAACCAAGTCAGCGTCTTAACATGTTTTGTCTTTGCCGTTTTCTTTCCTCCTCGGTATATCTTATTCCCAAAGAAAGAGAATCAAGCTTGGGTTTGAGGCAGGGCCAGCTACTTACTATTCTCCCACCGCCTCCCTGAAAGTCGTACCCGTGGAATTTTTAATACCCTCTTAATCACTAAAACATAAAACGCTTTGATGTAAAGGTCATTCATAGGTGGAAGTCCACAGCCCCACCTGCAGACTATTCCTATCGCCTCTCGCACTCTATTAATAGCTTCAACCTTGCTCTACGCGCTTTCAGGCTTTACACTAATTTTTCTTCATCAATGCTTGCTCAGAATATATTAAAAAAGGGTGTAAAAAACTTTCCCTCGGGGATTTTACAAACACCTTTACATTATGTAACTTCCTCGCCACCTTGGGGCCCCCCGGCCGCACCAGAACCTGGGCAGCCGACAGGAGACAAAACGGGGGGGG